TATCTATCTATCTATTTCATTCTGTGCATATCTATCTATCTATCTATCTATCTATCTCATTCTGTTCATATCTATCTATCTATCTATCTATCTATCTATTTCATTCTGTGCATATCTATCTATCTATCTATCTATCTATCTATCTATTTCATTCTATCTATCTATCTATCTATCTATCTATCTATCTATCTATCTATCTCATTTTGTGCATATCTATCTATCTATCTCATTCTGTGCATATCTATCTATCTATCTATCTATCTATCTATCTATCTCTCTATTTCATTTTGTGCATATGTATCTATCTATCTATCTATCTATCTATCTATCTATCTATCTATCTGTCTCATATCTATATCATTCTCTATCTATCTATCTATCTATATATCTATTTCATTCTGTGCATATCTATCTATCTATCTATCTATCTCATTCTGTGCGTATCTATCTATCTATCTATCTATCTATCTATCTATCTATCTATCTATCTATCTCATTCTGTTCATATCTATCTCATTTTGTGCATATCTATCTATCTATCTATCTATCTATCTATAAAATACTTTGACAACAATGAATGTTGCTTGCCAGCTATCTTGTTCTTTTTGTTTTTAACGGAAATAAAAGGCATCGGCCTTTATTTGTGATGCCCAACAGATTCGCCTCTCGCCCGGTACACATCCCTTCAACGTCTTTTTAACAGAAGGAAATGTTTATCTCTTGTTTGCTGTTTAGAATTGCCTTTCCTGCTCCTTCTAAATTCTTTTCATTTTCTCTCACTCCAAGTAACCCTTTGCGTCTTAGTGGGATTATCGCATTGTTTGTGATGCAATTATTTAAAATTATGATTTCAATTAAATGACCTGTAATCTCTCTAAGCAAAGTGCTATATATCAACATTTAACACAAATCAATTGCGATCAGATTATAGTCAACAATACAAAAAAGAAAACGATTAAAAATGTTAGAGGCTCTTTACATAAAACAACAGGAAACCATCGCCAGTAATTTTTTATTTTAACTCTGCGCGCATATACTAAAAAGCATTTGAACTGTTATTAACATGGCGGTCAAAAATATAAAGCCAGAAAGCATTGTCAGAATTTTTGGGGGGGGGATAATAATGATTTAGTGATACAAGTCTTACTATTTAACCCATAACTGGAGTGAGAGAAGAAGTTCCCAAGTAAATATAACGAACAAAACGGCGATTCATCTCCGATGAAAAATGTCCGAGCCATTATCCATTACACCATTTGTACATCCAAGCTGGTATTTCCAAGCGGTCATCTATCTAGTTAGTGACAAGACTCGACGTTGCTTAACTTTGAAAGAATAGAGATTAAATGTAAGTCATTTTCGTCTTTTAGGGTAAATTTTCGAGCATTCGCCGGTAATTTTAACTGGATGACATAAAAGAAAGGGGAAAGAAAAAGAAAAAAAAAGATGAAAAACATTTTTTTTTAAGAGGCGCAACTCAGAAATAAAATTTTTCAATAAAAGCAGACGTGTCACCACCAAAATTCGAACAGCTGCTTACAGGAAATGCTGCATATTTTATGATTTAAAAATCTTAGAAAACTTTTCGGGTTTTGCCTTCATTAGAGAATAAAGACTATTCTCTGGCAGGTGTACAAGAAATACTCAGTATACGGGATATGAATTTATGTGGAGTTTGTGTTTAAAATAAACGAAAAAAAAATGACATTCATATAGATCTGAAAATATATACCGATAAATTATAAAAGCAATTAGCGTATATCAAAATTAAACATAATTCTTCTTATTTTATGTTCCGTGTTCGTAGGCGGTCATGGCTCTCCACCTTCTCCTGTCTTTTTAGCTCTTAATAAACTTTGTATTTTTGTGATATCTCCCAAAATCTGTGCCGCCATCCATTTGCTAAAGCCAATTAAGTATATCACGCATAGCTTTCCCCTATCCCGTTTTCCAATTGTCCGTCCTGTGGATATCAGATTTTTCAAGCCATCTTTCCTCATTACCTGTCCCAGAAACTTCAGCTGCCTCTTCCTGATGTTAAGTATAAGTTTCCACTTTGTTTCCATTCTCTCCAAAACCTTGTCGTTGCTCACATGTTCGGCCCATGGTATCCTCAACATCCTTCTGTAGAACTACGTTTCTATTGCCTCGGGTCTCTTCTTCACCTTTAAGGAGATTGTCCAGCATTCGCTGCCATGCAGGAGGACTAATATCATTTAACAGTTCAGTACGCTTTTCTTTGTTTGCAACGAAACTTTCCTGTCTCTTTATACTCTGCTTAGCTTTAGGAAAGCGTCTTTGACCATCCTAATACTTATTCTGACATCAGTGTCGCACTTTACAATTCCTGTCATCCGGTTGTCAGTCAAATCAGCGGCAACCAACCGATTTTGTGTCATCTCCCACCTTCACATGGAAATATTTCCACCACCCACCAGTATAATTAATATGTAAAAAGCATACAGTGATGGGTAAATTATTCTTTGGCGGCTATTTTGTTCATATTTATCTATCTATCTATCTATCTATCTATCTATCTATCTATCTATCTATCTATCTATCTATCTATCTCAGGCTGTTCATTATCTATCTATCTATCTATCTATCTATCTATCTATCTATCTATCTATCTATTTCAGGCTGTACATATCTATCTATCTATCTATCTATCTATCTATCTATCTGTCTCAGGCTGTTCATTATCTATCTATCTATCTATCTATCTATCTATCTATCTATCTATCTATCTATCTATTTCAGGCTGTTCATATCTATCTCATTCTGTTCACATCTATCTATCTATCTATCTATCTATCTATCTATCTATCTATTTCAGGCTGTTCATTATCTATCTATCTATCTATCTATCTATCTATCTATCTATCTATCTCAGGCAGTGAGATAGATCTCATTCTGTTCACATCTATCTATCTATCTATCTATCTATCTATCTATCTATCTATCTATCTATCTATCTATCTATCTATCTATCTATCTATCTGTTGTAAGCTAGAAAGGTTACTGAATGAGGAATAACAAAAACGGAGGTTGGAAATGAAATGGTAATCTTTATAACATCAACACAATACAATACTCGCCAGCGGCGTCAACTAGGTAAACCACTGTTAATGGTGGACTACTTAGACACCATATTACCCGCCCCTTACAATATTCTACAACGTATTTATGAGGACTGGAAAAACCCATTAGTGTTCATAGGTACGTTATATAACAAATGGGTAAATTATGTTTTGACCGGCACTTTTCCTGCCTTGAGATGGCCAATATGATAAAAATGTAAAAAACAATTTTATCCATCTATATAATTTTATCTATCTGTATTTAAATACCTTGGCGCATATGTATATTACTTATTGCTATAAATGTATAAGGTAAACAGGGTGGCCCCAAAATTACGAAAATCTTTGAAAGTTTAATAATATTTTTGTTTATTAACATTTTAGTTTTCTTTTAGGTATTTCATAAAGAAGGCTTTGGATATTAATCATGTAAAAATAAGTCGAGAAATCTTTCTATCAAAACAAAGGGTCAATAATTCAAGCTCAAAGCATAAACTGGCCACCATGTTTCTCCAATCTGAAAAGCCATGATTTATTTTTTTTTATTGGCTATCTCAAATAAACGGTTTGTCAACAAGCCTCAGACATGTCCAAGGAAAACATTCAGATAGTCCTCAAAGCTCTACAGCCTGAAACAATGAGGACAGTGATGGAAAATACCTTAGAAAGGGCACATTCGTGTGAAGTTGAAAATAAATGCCACTTAAATATTGTAATCATTCTCAACTAGTGTAAATTTATTTTCCATATCTATCTATATCATATGAAATGTCTGTGATTGCGTGCTTGCTTGCGTGGCGCGTCCGTCCGTCCGTCCGTCTGTCCGTCCGTCCGTCTGTCCGTCCGTCCTTCCGTTCGTTCGTCTGTCCGTCCGTCCGTCCGTCCGTCCGTTCGTCCTTCCGTCCGTCCGTCCGTCCGGTGCGTAATGATTTACGAGTTGTTTATACAGTAAGTATTTTTATTTTAACTTTCTTCAAACAATTTTTTAATTAAAATATTTTAAAGTTAAAGACAGACACAAAGAGATCACGCTTTGCTGTTTCGTTCACTTGTTTGTGGAGGAATTATTTATATTTCATCTTTTTTAAACAAACAATATTTTAAATATTTAAAAATATTTTAAGTTAACCTGTTTAAAAAAATATTTTAAGTGAATAAGTTTTAAAACTAGGAGTTGTGTATACGGTATTCCTTTATTTTAGCTTTCTTCAAACAAATAATTTTTTAATTAAAATATTTTGAATTTAAAGAGAGGCACAAAGAGATCCTGCTTTGCCGTTTCGTCCAGTTGTTTGTAGAAAAATGTTAATAAAGAAAAATGTGCTCTCCGACAGGGATCGATTCTGCATACCCCTTTATAGGATAAACCGCTTTTTGATTGAGAGAGAGAGAGAGTGGGGGTGGTTGAGTGGATAAAGGCGTTGGTTAGATCCAGTGACAGGACCGAAAGAGTGTGAGTTCAATACCTGGTTAAGGCAGTGGAGAACTTGGAGAGGGGAAATAACAGGAGATAACTGATAACTGGCATCCATGAGACATGGCACATGGAACTAGAAAAGTCTACCCCAGTGAGCGAAATAAGGTTCGACATTCCAACCACTGGAAGAAGGCCAGAGTGTACAACGGCTGAAACGTTGTCATAAATATGGCGACAAAGATGAGGACAATAATCGGAATAATGTAAATAGTGTAAATATTTTTACATTGTAAGAATTTTTTTTTCAGATAATAATGGTGTAGTAATACAAGTCTTATTAATTAAACCATCGCTGGAGGGGGAGAAGAGGTGGATTCATGCCTTTCCCAGGGGTATTTGCGTGTAAGAGAATACAACGAACCCAATGGGAACTGAAACTCGGCTCTCCGATTAACAATTCTGAGGCATTATCCATTATACGACACGCACATCCAAGCTTATAGAACCTGGTATTCGCAAGAGGTCACCCTTCTAGGTACTGACCAGGCTCGGTGTTGCTTAACTTCGGTGATCGTACGGGAACCGATGCTTCAACGTGATATGGCCGCAAGCCTAGGTAGAAAAGAAGGGCAAAGCGAAAAAACCCAACCCCCCCCCCCCAAAAAAAAACGAGTGATTAAAAGGAAAAGTAAGAAAAAAAGAAAGAAAGTAAGAAAAAAAGAAAGAAAGAAAGAAGCAACGTGTAGAGGAAAGGAAAGAAAGGAAGAAGAGGAATGAGAAAGAGATTTTATTATGAAAATGTACTGTTGACAGAAAGAAAGTGATGATAAACAAAATAAAGAGAGAGAGAGAAAGAGAGAGAGAGGGAGAGAAAGGGAGAGAGAAGAGGAGTAGGAAGAGGGATGAGAACCAAGGCGAAAGAAGAAGAAAGTGAGAGGCAAAAGTAGAAGGAGTTAGGGAAAAATAAGAGGAAGAAAAAGAAAGAAAATGAAGGGGAAAAAAATGAAAGAAAAAGGTGAGAAAAATTAAAGAAAGAAAAAAATAGAAAAAAAAGAAGAGAATAAATAAAGGAAAAAGAAAAAAAAATGAAGGAAATTCGGAAAACCTTGGAAAAATTCTTGAAAGGCAAACAAACCTGTTTTGTTTATTTTATTTTTTTTATTTTATTTTGCTTTCCTGATTCCGCGTCTCAAAGAAAATCGTCATCTTAATCATCAAAGAGAATTCTTTACTCATACCAAAAATCTAATTTTGTCTTTAACGCTAATAAAAATATAATATTAACTTTATCTGGCAAGTGCCCATTCGAATGGCGAACTTTAACTCAAAGATAAGAATTCAGACGATGTTGACGATTTCAAAATTACCAAAGACTGGAAGGGGAAAAAACACCTTACGACAAGGTATTTAAGTTTGCTTGTTTTTTTGTTTGTTTTTTTTTTTTTTTAACTTACTACAGCACAAAGCCAAATCGAGGTAACATGGGTTGTGAAGATCAGGCTGAGACAAATGCAGAAAGGATTTACCTTGAAAATCAGCATAAAAATTTCGACATTATTATACGTTTTATTTATATTTACTAAGCTCAAATATTTGAACAGGATTTCGAAAATCTAACAACGAAATTCTGGCTTCAACTTTGATCTTCAAAAATTTAAATGAAATGCCAATCGTTACCTTTAATTTAAGTGCAGTACTAGATTGGCGGCTAGGTCTCATCATTTTACAGTTGAAATGGCAAGAGTGCACCGTAAGTTCTATGCTAATAGCTTCTTCTTTCGCACTTCTAGTTTGTGGAACTCTCTTCTTGCTTCTGATATATAGAGCGATTGATAATATTGACCTATATGGCAGTGAATGCTGGACAATTTCTTTACAGGTGAAGACGCGATTTGAGGCAACGGAGATGTGGTTCTACAGAAGGATGCTGAGAATACCATGAACGTAAACGTTTTTAAGAATATGGAAACAAAAAGGACGCTTATACAAAAAGGACAGTTGCAATTTCTAGAATACATAATGAGGTAGGAAGACGTAGAGAATTCGATACTCACAATACCTACTGAAGATAAACAAGGTCTTAAGTGAAAACATTATTTTTATCAAGACGCAAAGTCTTTGGTATGGCATATCTAATAATTAAAAAAAAAGATTAAAATACGTCTGTTTTTAAGTGTGCAAGATAAGAAAAGAGTTCTCAGCTATTATGTAATATCAATCACACTATATGACAGTGAATGCTGGGCAATTTCTTCACAGATGAAGAGGAGACCTCAGGAAACAGAGATGTGGTTCTACAGAAGGATACTGAGAATATTATAGATAAGGCATATGAGCAACGTTTTAAATAAACTGGAAACAAAAAGAGCACTTGTAATTTGAACCAGAACAATTGATTACTGCATTTTACAAGACGCTGCGGCTTGGAAGACGCACCATAATATTGGAAAGAAATTTCTAAGAAAAATCAAAAACATTCTCATACACCATATTCACCCTGCGTCCCTCACATAATGACGCCATATATTGTTTACATTAATCACTCGTCTGATTTTGTTTTTATGACAATGACATACTAGGCAAGAGCAGAAAGGCTACCGCCGCTGCTAGTAAGCAGAGCATTTTTAAGCTTGTGGCTCGGCTCCAGGAAGGTTTATAAGTACTGATATTACACCATATAAAAGGCTGAATTAGATAGATAGCTAACATTATAATGTAATGATTTAACATATAATTTCACTCTCCTATCAGTCAAGCCAATTAGGTAACCGTCTAAGCTTACTTGATCCTATTCGTTTTTGAAGATATACACACATATATTTTTAGGAAAGAAAGTGCGTCTTTTAAGCCGGAAATACGGTAATACGTTTTTACGTCTTATCAACCCTATGCAGGTTATTTAAAGACAGAAGATTTTTTTTTTTTTTGGTTCTAAGAATTTTTTGCGATAATAATGATTTAGTGATACAGGTCTTACTATTTAATCCATACCTTTCCCAACGGCATTTGCGCGAAAGTGAATATAACGAACCCAACCGGAATTGGAACTCTGTTCTCCGGACCATTATCAACACATCGAACTTACAGCACGTGGTACTCCCAAGCGGTCACTCATCTAATAAGGGAGGGAGACTCTCAGGGAAGATGGAGGTCAAAAGGCACAGGGGAGGCAAAGAACAACCTGCCTGACAAGCTTATGTGAATGAATGACAGAACGACCAGAACCAAGGATGGTAAGAAAACTAATATTAAGAGCTACAAAAAGAATAGGAAGTTGCGGAGAGCCTTGATCAACCACGTTCTGAAGGGACACGGCACATAGAAGAAGCTTAAATAGAAAAAAATAAGGATAGGAAATTGTATAGCGCCAGTATTTCAATTTTTGTCTTTTAATATTAACTTGGCACAAGGATAGATATTTGGGGAAAGAAGATTGTGCTGCGTCAATCTTTTAAGCCTGCCATGAAATTTACATTCAAAATCCACAATTCTTATCTGTGGATGCTTGTTAAGCTTGGTACAGAAAAAGATTGGAGAGGATGGAAGATTGTGTTGCGCCAATCCTTCTAGTTTGGTCTGTCTCTCATATAATTAACATTATCATTATTAATTAATACAGAATATGCAGAAGAGGAAAAAAGAGAAAAGGAGAAAGAAAAGAGGAGAAATGAAAGGAGAGAGAGAGAGAGAGAGAGAGAAGAGGATGGAAAGGAGGGTAATGGAGAGTATAAGAATAGGAGAGAGAAATGATAAGAAAGAGAAAGAGAGACTAATGGAGAGAAAGAGAAGAGGAGACATAAATTGAGAAAAGAGAGGAGGAGGGAAAAGGGAGAGAAAGAGAAGAGGAGGGAGTAATGAGGAGAAGAAGAAGAGTAGAGAGAAATAGAAAGAGAGGAGGAGGGAAAAGGGAGAGAAAGAGAAGAGGAGGGAGTAATGAGGAGAAGAAGAAGAGTAGAGAGAAATAGAAAGAGAGGAGGAGGGGAAAGGGAGAGAAAGAGAAGAGGAGGGGAGGAAGGAGGAGAAGAAGAAGAGTAGAGAGAAATAGAAAGAGAGGAGGAGGGGAAAGGAGAGAAAGAGAAGAGGAGGGAGTAATGAGGAGAAGAAGAAGAGTAGAGAGAAATAGAAAGAGAGGAGGAGGGGAAAGGGAGAGAAAGAGAAGAGGAGGGAGTAATGAGGAGAAGAAGAAGAGTAGAGAGAAATAGAAAGAGAGGAGGGGGAAAAGGGAGAGAAAGAGAAGAGGAGAGAGTAATGAGGAGAAAGAGAAGAGTAGAGAGAAATAGAAAAGAGAGGAGGAGGGAAAGGGAGAAAAAAGAGAAGAGGAGGGAGTAATGAGGAGAAGAAGAAGAGTAGAGAGAAATAGAAAGAGAGGAGGAGGGGAAAAGGAGAGATAGAGAAGAGGAGGTAGTAATGAGGAGAAAGAGAAGAGTATAGAGAAATAGATAGAAAGAGAGGAGGAGGGAAAAGGGAGAGAAAGAGAAGAGGAGAGAGTGATGAGGAGAAAGAGAAGAGTAGAGAGAAATTGAAAGAGAGGAGGGGAGAAAAGGGAGAGAAAGAGAAGAGGAGAGAGTGATGAGGAGAAAGAGAAGAGTAGAGAGAAATAGAAAGAAAGGGGGAGGGGAAAGGGAGAGAAACAGAAGAGGAGAGAGTAATGAGGAGAAAGAGAAGAGGATGGAAAGTGAGAGGAAGAGAAGTGGGGGGCCGTAATGGAGAAAAAAATGAGAGAATAATGGGAGAGAGAGAGAAGAGGAGAGATAAATGGAAAGAGAGGAAGAGGGTAAAGGGAGAGAAAGAGAAGACGGAGTAATGACGAGAAAGAGAAGAGTAGAGAGAAATAGATAAAAAAGAGCGGGAGGTAAAAGGGAGAGAAGAAGACTAATGGAGAGAATGTGAATATGAGAGAGTAATGGAAAGAAAGAGAGGAAGAGGGAAAAGTGAGAGAAAGAGAAAAGGCGGACCGTAATGGAGAAAAACAGAAGAGGAGACAGTTATAGGGAGAAAGAGGAGGGAGGAAATTTGAGAAAGAAAAGGCAAGAGTGCAAAAGAAAGAAAGAGAAGACGAAAAAGAAGAGAAAGGATAGGTTTGCTAAGCAGGTTTCTACGGCAGTTCGACATTGTTACTTTGCCGCTAACACTCGTGTTGTTTTCTCTGTTAAGCCTGTCCTTCCGTCCATGCGTAAGGATGTTCTACCTCCACATCATAATAGTTCTTTAATTTATTCTTTTAAATGAAGTTGCGGTTCGCACTACATAGGGAGGACGACGCAAAGGCTGGCTAGAATAAAACAACACATTCCAGCGAAAATCCGAAACCTTAAGTACACTCCCTCGGGCATTTTGACCAATACATACGGTTCTTCCATCGTAGAACACCTAATAAATAGCCATAAATGTGCTGTTAGTTTTAGTGTGGACTCTTTTACCATCCTTAGAAGGTCCCATTCTAATTACCACCTAAAAGTGTTGGAGGCCATCTGTATTCTATCATTAAAACCTTCTCTATGTAAAAAGAAGGACTGTGTATTAGGCCTCCAACTAATTACCATCTAATTTTTTTTCCCAATACACTTCGTTTATTTTTTTTTAATAATTTAGTTTATTAACCTCAATTTAC